ATTGGGCAGTAATGTATGGTTGCGGAGGGATCAATCGAATCCACAACTATATCCCAAACCATAAGTATTTGTGCCCACCAGATGGGTGTGCAGTCTCCACGGTCAAATGTAAGAGGTGGTCATGTATTAAGTGGCATACCCAAGACCCAAAGGAGATGGAGCACATCTTGTTTGAAAAGAAAAATACAACAGCAGACTCCTGTGGAAGAGATAACTGTAATTTGGTGACCCTCACAGTCAAAAATGGCAGTTGGTTCCTAGAACAAAATAGATGGGAAAAACGAAACTGGATGTTTGGGATTGGAATAGATGCTGATGGCTATGATCCAATATCAGAGGTAGAAATCAAAATCATAACTGCAACCAAAAGATCAGAACAAAAATCATTATTTTGGTCATATTATGAAGAAATGGAGAAACCAAATATTCCTGAAATACCTAGACAAGTAACCAATACCTTTGTCAAGTTAGCTGAAGATATTGCTCATACTTTAAATGTGTCCAACTGTTTTGTGTGTGGTGGAACAAATATGGGAGAAAAATGGCCATGGGAGGCACAAGAGTTAAATTATACCAAGGTACTAGAAATGTCTAAAAATGGTAGTTTAACCTACTCAAGTGGAAAAGATGGTGATTGGTCTCTCACTTCCAACTTGGTAGGACATGTATGTTACTCAAGGAACAAAACAGAATCTTGCATAGCAGTAGGTAACCTCCTATGCACAGGGATTTGGGAAAATGGTAGATGGTGGTCTGGAACCAATGAAACCACTACTATGGATCATTATGCCCTTGCAAACATATCTGGGATGCCATATCTAAAAGACCCCACAAATACCAGTCTTCCTTGGCTAACTCCGGATGGAATGTACTGGATTTGCGGAAAAATGGCATACGGACAACTACCTAAGAACTGGTGTGGATCTTGTGTATTGGGAATAATTCGACCAGGATTTTTCCTGTTACCATTAAAAACTAAGCAAATTCTTGGTGTTCCCATCTATGATGAAATTGGCAATGTAAGACAAAAAAGGGAACCAAGTACATACACCCAATGCGCAGGAATCACTTGGCAAGAAAATGAATGGCCACCTTGCCGCATCATCCTAGTTTATGGCCCAGCTACTTGGGCTGAGGATGGGATGTATGGATACCGTACCCCTATTTACATGATCAACAGAATCATTAGATTACAAGCAGTAGTAGAGTTAATTACCAATGAGACTGTGAAAGGACTAACGGAATTGGCCAAAGAAAATGTGAAATCCAGGACATATATTATGCAAAATAGGTTAGCCTTGGATTATCTGTTGGCCAAAGAAGGAGGAGTATGTGGAAAATTCAACCTAACAAACTGTTGCATCGAAATAGATGAAAGTGGAAAAGTGCTGAAAGACATAACAGACAGAATGGTCAAACTAGCTCATGTTCCGGTACAAAACCTGGAATGGATTTAATTTAGAAGACATGTTTTCAGGATGGTGGCCAAAGTTACCAGGCCTACAAACCATCATAGTTATAGCAATCTTGTTAATTCTAGGATGTATTTTGATTCCCTGCTTGCTCCCTTGTGTTATAACAATGATTCGAAGAATCTCGGAAAGTACAGCTCAATTAACTGCAAAACATGAAACAATGTTAGCTTTATGGGAATATAAAGCGTTGCCCTCTAAAGATCCTGACTTGGAGGACGAATAGTGGAAGTTTAAGCGAGAAAACTTCCAAAGGGGGGAATAATGTAGTAAAATGAACAATTATTAGAATAATGATTTGTCTGCATAACTGCAATAATGATGTCTGCATAATTGCTAGAATAATGAGGTAATGCATAATCACTGGGAAAAATACACTGAGAAAATTCTGTGTCAGTAATATGTGGCAACCAAATGCGCTTTGCACATGGATACTTTGTATGTAGCAAAACCTTCCATTGTATGCCCGTGAGAAACGAACCAAATGTATTACAGTGTATTATCATGTGTAGTCCCTTTGTTCCTGAAAGAAGGGAAGTATAAAAACTGAAGTCTAATCCCGCCCTCCTTGTTCAGAATTGCCTATCTCTAATATGCCTCTGAACCTTGCGCAATAAACTTCTCTGCTAAACCCCTCTGGAATTCGTAAGAGTTCTTTCGTTTTCCACAAGTGTGGCATATAAAGAAAACTTATATAAAATGTTTTACAGATGGCACCAGTGAGATTAGCAAAAATATTTAAAAATACTTCAAACAAGTGTTGGAAGTGCAAACAAAAGCCAGGTACCTATTACCATAACCAGGTACCTATTACCATATCTGGTGGACATGCCATAAAACTAAAAGATTTTGGTCAAAAATACACTTATGGTTGGAGAAAATGACTAAAAAACAAATAGATTTTAAGCTAGAATTATTTTTGTTAGGAATAATAGGTGCAACTTATGAGACAGAGTGTATATATTTAATTTTACATGTACTAACTGCAGCAAGAATTGTATTTGACCAATAGTGGAAAAATGAAAACCTACCAATGGAAGAATTAATTAAGAAAATATTAGAGTGTGCAGAAATGAATAGTCTGACTTTAAAGATAAAAGTGGAGCAGACTACCCAACCAGTCCCCTCTCTCCTGCATTCAACGAACGCTGCCTGGGACTTCCAGCCCCACCAACCGAAGGTTTGGGGCGTCACCAGGACAACGGCCGGCTGGGCAGCGCAGCTAAGATGGCGGTACGGGCGGATCGTTGCTCACGCGCTCGGGAGAGATGGGCCCGGCTGATGCATTCCGTGTCGCGCGGAGATGACGTCCTCCGGGGTGGCGGCTGCTTCCCTCCATCGCCGGGAGCCGCCGTCGCCGCCGCCGTCGCGCGCGTGAAGATGGCGGGAATGGGCGAGGCGGCCCCGGGTGGCGGCGACGGCGGTGGCGGGGCCGGGCTCCGCCAGGGCTCCCCGCCGGAACCCTCGCCGCTACTGCTGCAGGCGGAGGGCGGGCAGCCGCGGCGGAGTACTTTCGCCAGCAGCGGCGATGGGCAGCCTCCTCCCTGTACCGAAACGCTGGGCTTCTACGAAAGCGATCGGCACCGCAAGAAGAAGCAGCGCCGTGCGCCCTCGGGTAAGATTCCGTCGCGGACTCCTAAACATGTGCAGAGTGCTTCTTTGGAGTTTCATACTTGTGGAAAGCTTGGGAGGGGAGTGCAGAAAAGGAGAAGAAAAACAACGTGTGCAGAGCGCTTTTTTGGGTGCTTCCTCATGGGAAACTTGCGGGGGTGGGGGAATGCAAAAAACCTGGGGAGAAGGAAGAGCGGAGTGAGTCCCATTTGCACCCCAACCTGTTGGGTCCCCGATGTCCCATGACGGGCCTTCTTCCTCCACCCGCTTCTTCCAAAGCTGGTTTCATTTTTGTAAGTTGTGGTGCTTAAGTTTTGCACCGAGGTAGGGTGGATAATGACAAGACCTACAGAGATACCTCTTTTCTCCCTTGATGCCCAAAAGAGGACTCTTGTATGCTTTCTCCATAACAATGACTGTGCTGGAGACTCCGGATGCCTGAATTTGGTCCTCACGCTCCTCACATTGCCTCCCTCTGGCTCATGAAAGACTTCCCTAAATTATTTTGGGGAATCTATCTTAGGTATCCAAGTTTGAAAAAGGAGGCTCAGGTCTCTGTCTTAATCTGTTTTCTGGGACAGGTTCCTGCTTTATATGTGAAACTTGGATGAGGGCACATCAATATAAAATTAGCTTTACTTTTGTCCAGGAACAAGAGGTAAAGAATCATCCAATGCTATGAAACATATTCTTGGCATTGGTTTTGAGTGCACAGGATTGCTTTCTTGCATAAGGGATAGAATTTTGGGAGTTGAAGTCCACAAGTTATAAAAGGACCAAGTTTGAAGATCCCTGACTTAGAGGAAAGAAATCTTCCTATGCGAATGCTGTTTGTCGACTTTAGTTCAGCATTTAATGCTATCATTTCTCAGAATTTAATAGATAAACTGAACCTTTTAAGCTTCAATACTCCTTTGTGCAACTAGATTCTTGATTTTCTCACTGATAGGCCCCCAGTATGTGCGAGTTGGGACTAATATTTCTAAGACCATGTTCTTGAGCACAGGTTCTCCTCAGAGCTGTGTCCTAAGTCTGTTGTTAACCCGTTGACTCATGACTGTTGTGCAAGGTTTTGCTACCAACCATATGGTGAAGTATGTAGATGATACAATAGTGGTGGGCCTTATTCAGTATGATAATGATTACTGGGAGGGTAATGATGAATTGGGTTTGATGAATTGGTGTAATAAAAAAAGGCTGGTTTTAAATCTAGGAAAAACAAAAGAGATCATTGTCGATTTCAGAAAAGGCAGGCACAGCCATAGACCTCTGTGTATTGACTATTCCACTGTGGAGGTGGTTAATAGTATCAAGTTTCTGAGTGTGCAGCTGAAGAGCAGATTAGCTTGGTTGCTCAACAGTGAGACTGGTGAAGCGGGAACAGCAGAGCCAGCGTTTTCTGTGTCTCATGAGAAGAGCATTTCTTCCTTCCCCTATCCTTACTACTTTCTATAGAGGGACAACTGAAAGCATCCTGTTGTACTGTATTACTGTGGTTTGGAAGTATTATTGTTTCGGACAGGAAGGCTGTGCAGAGAGTGGTGAGGACAGCAGAAAAGATTATTAGAAGTTCACTTTCTTCTGTTCAGGACATACCATATAAGAGATGCTTGACCAGGGTCCGCAGTATTGTCAGAGATGTTACACATCCTCTTCATGTGTTACCTTCTGAGAGGAGACCTCATGGTATCCGAAACAGAACAACTAGATTCTGTAATAGGTTTCTACCATATAGTATCAACCTTGTTAACTCTCAAAACTCTTTTTTCTGCCATGTATTCTAAATGGGCTGTGATTTTTTTTTAGATATTTCCCATGTTTCCCTGAAAATAAGACCTATCCCCAAAATAAGCCCAAGCTTGAGTTTTAGGGGTGGGGCTAATATAAGCCCTACCCCAAAAATAAGCCCAGGGAGGGTGGGCATGGCCAGCACAAGCAGTGGCGTGTGCACGGGGGCCGATGGTATCTGGCAGCAGCTGCAGCCTGCCGGCCCCTTGGAGCAGCAGCATAGGTAAGTCCAGCACAGAGGCAGGGGGGGAGGACAGGCAATCCAGATACACTGTGCGCTTTTTGGAGAAATGACAGAGACTGGAAGCTTCATCTGCTTGAAAATGGGGCGGTTGGAAACGGAGGGATTTGCTCTGTTTCCAACCACCCCATTCTTAAGCAGACGAAGCTTCTATTCTCCATCATTTGTCTGTCTGGGAGAAAAGTCTTTGGGCACCCCATAGGAACCTAAACACTTCTCACCCAGAGGGAGACTGGCACCTTCATCTGCTTGAAAATGGGATGGTTGGAAACAGAGGGATTCGTTCCGTTTCCAACCGCCTCATTTTCAAGCAGACGAAGTTTTTAGTCTCTGTCAACAGCAGCAGCAGAATCCTGCCCCCTGGTACGGAGTGGCAGGGTCAGCCCCACACTCTTCGGGCCTTGGCAGGTGCTGCAGCTCTCATTCCAACTGCGAGGTGTGGGGGGGGCTGCCCCTGGCCATTTTCAGCTTTTACCCAGTACGGCTTCGGCGGGTAACTGATAGGCAGAGGGAGGTAGCACCACCCTGAAAAATAAAACATCCCCCGAAAATAAGACCCATGTTGGACTATGTGTAGTGATTATATGTTTACATATAATCATATATAATCATATATTTATATGATTGTGTGTGTATGTTTATATATAGCATATGTATATGCATGTGGATATGTACTTTGAGAGCGGGCATCAGAATTTCATTTTTTATTGTGCCAGTGTGTTCACCAAAAAAAGTGACAATAAAGATTATTTTATTTATCTTACGTATATACTGCCCTTAATTCTTAGAAGATAAGATAAGATAACCTTTATTGTCATTTTTATACTGTGGGCACAATGGCACACATCAAAAATGAAATTTAGTTGCCCGCTTTCAAAGTGAAACACATACATGACACACACCTAAATATACTATGAACAACATATGTATAGACCCACATCCCTACATATACGTAGCATTAAATATTGTCCATCTTGAATATATAACGGAAGGAGGAAGCTTGAGAGTTCTCAAGGTTAATGCTGTATGGAGAGAATACAAGTATGGCTATATAAAAGTTTTTCTCCTTCATTGATAAAAGTTTTCTTGACTAGATCTTCTCTTGCACAAGCAAAAAACAGTTGGACAGATATTTAAGTGGGTAACATTTCTAATTTAGGATTAAGACTATCTTATATTGCTTTTTTCAGTTAATGACTCACTATACAATCCTAAATGTGTTTTCAGGAAGTAAGCTTCTCTATATTTGGTGATTTTGGGGTGTATATAAAGCATTGTGTGCTTGATGTACTATAAAATCAGGGTGTTATTTGTATTACAGTCTTCCTGCCTTCAGTAAATATCTATACATTGTTGGGTGCCTTTGTTTCCTTGCATTTAGAGATATTTAGTTAGTTAAAATGGTTAGGAACATGACATGCTTAATAATGAAAATACTTGATATGGTGGAGGAAAAATAAAGTGGGAGTCAAATTCTGTAACAGACTTTGAAAAAAGGGATAATGTCAAGGTTTGCCTCCAGGTTGATGTTCAAAAGAAAGCTGTAACCCGTTGGATGTTTTCACCTCTTCAACCCATTTATATTTATGAAGTGCTCTTAAACCATGGTGTTTCTGAAAGAACCCTCTGCTGTTCATTGGTTATAGAAATTAACTTCAGGTAGGAAGATCCCATTTCAGGCATTACTATAGCATACATGATTAAGATTGGGATTGTATTTGAAATAAACAAGACTATTTCAGTGTTAGAAAATAAAAAAAAATGTTAAAATGAAAAAATAGCAAAGTACTAGAAAGGGAATTGAACAAATTATGGTAGCTAAAATTGGAAACATTCCTTTTTGTCCTTGGTTCCAAGATAGCACAAATCCTGGCAGCTGGTTTCAACTTTAAAGCACAGGTCCCCAACCTTTGCAGCTTGGCGGCCCGGCTGGGGGGGGGGGAGAGGGGAACTGGGCCCTATGAGTGGCGGGCCAGCGTGCATTCATGTGCAGCTCCACTCACACGAGAGAAACTTTGAGGCACCACTCACACAAGTGGGGATGCACGTGCGCCAACCTGCCACTCATGCGGCCCGGTTGCAAATAGGCCACGGCCTGGTACGATTGGGGACCCCTGCTTTAAAGGACCAGCACTGGAAGGGAAGGGGAACTTTTGGGGAACTTTCATTTGACCAGATGTATTGGCTATGGTATTGGGCTTCCAAGACACTCATAATTTTAAGGATTAAAGGAATATTTAGAAATAAGTTGCAGCCTACAAAACCAATTGGATGTCTGTCCGTCTCCTTAATGTCTTGATGGTCCTTCTTTAAAGTCATATTCCAAGTATTATTCAGTACAGTATTATCATAATTATTCAAAGTAATAAGTAAAATGTAATTGTCACCTGTATTTGCTGGCCTTTATAGTATATACAGCATATAATGCCCTCATGTAGTGTAGTGATTCTATGTTGGATTATGGATAAGATGGCCCAGGTTCAGATCCACTCTTAGCCATGGATATTCCTTGGGTAAGTCTCTACCCAGGGGTCTGCAACCTTAAACACTCAAAGAGCCACTTGGACCTGTTTCCCAGAGAAAAGAAAACACTGAAAGCCGCAAAACTTGTGTGCGCACGTGCACAAAGATGGGAAGCTTGATTGAAGAGTTTAATTAAAAAGAAATAGAGGCTGTTGTGCATGAGTTCTCTCTCTCTCTCTCTCTCTCTCTCTCTCTCTCTTTCCTTTCCCCCCTCTCTTTCCTCTCTCTCTTTCCTCTCCCTCCCTCTCTCTTTCCTCTCCCTCCCTCTCTCTCTTTCTCTTTCCTCCCTCTCTCGGTCTCTTTCTCGCTCGCTCTCTTTCCTCTCCGTCTCTCTCTTTCTCAATCTCTCTCTTTGTCTTTCCTCTCCCTCTCTTTCTTTCTCTCTCTTTCTCTTTCTCTCTCTCCCTCTCTTTCTTTCTCTCTCTTTCTCTCTCTCTCTCTCCCTCTCTTTC